GGAAATGCGCTGCGCATGGCCTGGGACCCAGCACCAACCTCTGTGGATGCGAGACAGGCTGTGCTCTCTGTGGGACCCCACCCTGGGCCTGCCTGCCTGGCTGAGGGTCGGCCTCCAGCCCCCATTGGCTCAGCCCCACCCCCAGATCCTGGGCGTGGAACGGTGGTCTCCCCAGGTGATGCGAGCAGAGGGAGGCGGCGCCCCGACGCTCAGAGCAGAACTGGCTCTCTGACGCAGCCTCTCATCAAGGGGGGCCTGACAGCCCCAAAAAGTGCACCTCAAAGAGCCCCTGACGGGGCCCCCCATGGAGCTGCTGGCGCCAAGTTAATTAACACGGGAGGAACGAGCTGTTTAAAGTGACAGTGGAGAGGAGACACGAGCTCCGCCCCCGCACCCCCCACAAGAGGAGGGGGGACAGGATGCCCCCCAGAAGCAGACACCAGCTGCCTGCCGAGCAAAAGGCTGGCAAGGAGGGCAAGGGCGCAGCCCTGACAAGCCACGGGCGAGCCAGCGAGGCCCTTTCCTCCCCAGGGATCTCACCCAAGGATGTGAGAAATCCAGACAAAGACCGTCTCTGCTTCATCACAGAGAGAAAAACGTGCACATGCACACACGCATGCACAGGCCTCAGGAAAACTCTAACCACAGGGCAACCTCTGTGGACCCCCTGGGTAGGTGACAGAGCCAACCGACGGCCCTGTGCGGGGCTGGTGAACCTTGGTCCTAAGCACCGATTCAACTACAGAAACGGTCTTACAATGGATCTGTTGTCAGAAAAAAGATAAAACTCACAGTCAAGAATACATTAAAGCCCCAACTGTGACCAAAGACCTTTAGGGAAAGTCAAGGTTATTCATCCAAACCAACCACGGTTCTTTCAATGGAGGGAGGGGGGGTGGCAAACAATTTTGTAGTATTTGTTTTTCTAAATCTCTTTACTGAGCAAGTATATCATTTAAGTTGGTTGGGGGTGGGCAGATTATGAAATCTGGCCTGCCACCTGTTTTTGTAAATAAAGTTTTATTGGCACACAGCCCGGCACACGGCCCTGCCCACGGCCACACTGGTGCTGCTACAGCAGAGCTGAGCAATTACACAGCAACTGGATGGCCCCCAAATCCACAAATATCCACTATCTTGTCCTTTACAGAGTTTGCCAAACCTTGAGTAAGTCACAGAATCATTTTCACAAGGTATCTTGAAGCCCTGACCCCCGCAGTGTGTCTGTACCTGCAGAGAAGGAATTAGGAGGTCATGAAGGTTAAATGAGGTCCTAAGACTGGAGCCCTAATCCTATAGGACTAGTGTCCTTTTCAGAAGAGTAAGAGACAGATCTGCCCCCTGCCCCCACTGCCCCCATGTGAGGGCACAGCAGGAAGCTGGCGGTCCACATACCAGGACTACAGTCCTCACAGGAAGCTGACCCCAGTGGCACCCTGATCTCAGGCTCCCAGTCTCCAGAAGTGTGAGGAATAAATGCCTGTTGTTTAAGCCTCCCAGTCCCTGGTACCATATTTCTGCAGTCTGAGCTGACAGAGACAGGTGTCTGCCTGGAAACTTACTGCAGTCCCGCTTTTTACTGAGCATAGCAAGCTGCACATCCCCACCACCTGCTGCCAGAATCTGACTCTCACCAGGTGCCAGGAAGCACCTAGAACC